ACACTTGATATGGATTTTATTTTTCATATTGATATTGATACTGATTTGTCCTCCAATTTTCTTTTTCATATTCCACCAGGTTGGATGATAGGGTCCCACGTCAGTTTCAGGTGTATTCTAGGGGAAAGAGCAAGAATAAAGGGTAGTTTATGAATTGAGGGAAGTTAATACACGTGTTAGTTTTTCTCAGTTCAACGTGGGAGTAGTTATTATCAGTTATCTTCAGTTATAGGAGGTCATCGTCAGTTATTTTATGTCTTATCCTACCAGCCCATTTAGACATCATATGTATTAGTCTTGGAGACATGAATGAAAGTATATTATTCAGGAATTGCCCTCTTCTCATCTCCTAGGATTTCAGATACCGGTTCTAGGCTCTCTCTCCCTCTCATCTTTCTTCTAACTTTTCATCTGTTCTTTCCCCTCCCCATTCTTATTCTCTCTTCTACAGAACCTAACATTGGACAAGAAGAAAATTTCGGGAATAACTGGAAATAACAGAAAGAATGCACAGGAGGCTACGAAGGATGGAGTCTGGTGTCACATCAGAGGCATCAGATTCTAGTGAAATGAAGAAATCAAACAAAACAAGAGCAGTTGAAGTGTCTGGATGTGGAAGAGAAAAGGACACAACAGGCAAAGATATGTTGAGCAAACTGAGCAAAGTAGACTTGGCAGAACAAGAATGGGTCAATAAGATTCTAGAATGTCCTGTTTTCTGCCCATCAGAGCAGGAGTTTGAGGATCCTTTAGTTTATCTGCAGAAGATTGTTCCTCAGGCACAAAAATACGGTATAAGTGATCAAAGTCATATTTCCTGTTGTTTATTATTTTTAGCTTTTTAATATGTTCATGAACTGGCTTTAGTCCTTCGTTCTTCTTTATATTAAAGCTAAGTTGCATAAAATCCCCTTGAATTTTGAGTTGTGCACAAATAACTCTCACGATATTTAAAATTTGATCAAGAATCTTCCTAAATTTCCAATTTTGTGAAGACAATCCCCTTCCATTAATTAACCCTCTATCTTAATAATGGAGCATGATATGCGACCATGTACTCCATTAATTCATTAAACATTGGGTTATGAGCATGTCTGCATGTGATTATCCTAAATTTAAATCCTGTGCAGATAAATTCTCTGTCATGTTATAGAATAGGCAAATTAACAATAAGGGAGTTATTTGTATAATTTTAAAAGTACATGGAGTTTCCTTGTCAAGTTTTGGAGGTAAGGGAAGTTATTAATATCTAATCTAAAGTTTACAGAGTTATGTATAGTTTACCCTTATAGTAATGTTCATGAGGAATTTTCCGCAACAACCGAGCATACGGGCCTTTTCTGTATCCTGCTCATGCAATGTCATTGATCTATTAGAAGCAAATGACCATGAACATTTTTCTTTGACATTGCATATGGTTTGATTCTCATAACACTCTCATAGAACAAATAGCATATTTCTAATGATAAATCTTCATTTAAATGTTTCAGGAATATGCAAAATTGTTTCTCCTCTAAATGCCTCTATTCCAGCTGCTGTTGTCTTAACGAAAGAGAGAGAAAATTTCAAGTTTGAAACTATTGTACAACCTCTTCGGTTTTCTGAATTAAATGAGGACAATGAAACAACCTATTCTTTCAGAGGCAGGTAAGAAAATGCATTATGACTATAATTCTAGGATTATGATTCAATTGACATTGTTCAACTGCTGAATAATATTGTTTCCATCAGAAAATACACTTACCGTGATTTCGAGACTTTGGCAAACAAGGCCTTTCTCAGTAGGTTTTACAGTTCAGGAAATCTTCCTTCTTCATATGTGGAAAAGTTATTCTGGCATGAGATGGAGCATGGAGAGACGGGAACAGTTGAGTATGGAGTCAATGTTGAAGGTAGTGCTTTTTCATGTGATCCTAATGACAAGCTTGCAAAAAGCAAATGGAATTTGAAGGTAGTTTTTAAGACACTACTTTTCCCATTTGTTCTCTATAATATGCTTCTGTTAATTGTTAACAAATTCAGACTGATCATTGTGTTGTGAAAATAAAACTTTCTTTTTTTCTTCAATCCCAGAATTTCTCGCGGCTGCAGAAATCTACACTGCGGTTCATTGACCGAGACATTCCAGTAAGAGAGCAATCTTTAAACATAATCTCAATAAAAATTTGAACACTGTTTTCGGAGTGATTATTATAAACCTCATGGCAACGTTTCTTTTTTTGGGTAGGGAATAACTGACCCTATGCTTTATATTGGAATGCTATTCAGTATGTTTGCATGGCATGTAGAAGATCACTATTTGTACAGGTAATTCTCAAAACTATTACTCTGATGTTTATGTTCATCTACTATTTTACTGCACCTAGCTCTTATATGTTTTAATCCTTTTGTAGCATTAACTACCATCACTCAGGAGCAAACAAAACTTGGTATGGCGTTCCCAGCTGTGCGGCCTCTCAATTTGAAGAGGTTGCCTTGGATCAGGTGTTCCACTATAAGATTTTATCAAAACATGATGGAAAGGCTGGTGCCTTTGAAGCTCTTTCTCATAAAACAACCATGTTTTCTCCAAATGTGTTGCTCCAGCATGGTGTGCCAGTTTATAAGGCTGTGCAGAAGCCTGGGGAGTTTGTCATCACCTTTCCTAAAGCATATCATGCTGGATTTAGTCATGGTACCAATCCCTATCTTTCTGTGCATTGATAGTAGCATGGTCTTTGAAGTGAGAGAGAATGGGAGACAATCACATAAGAAGTGAGAATGTGTATGAAGCTCACTTTCTCCTTTCCACCCACTCTCCGTTTTCTTTTTATTTCTTTCATACTTTAAAAGTACTTCACAAGCTTCTAACTTCAGAGGATCTAAATCACTCTGCCTGTTTTATCACAAAATCCCAAATCCCCTAACTGAGCTTTAGCACAATGGTGCTAGAATCATATCCAAGACAAGAAAACCCAAGTTAATTACGCATTATGTAGGTTTCAATGTATATATTTATATTTATTGGATTGGATTCTTGTTGGTTCAGGATTCAACTGTGGAGAAGCAGTAAACTTTGCAGTGAGTGATTGGTTTCCATTAGGGGCTGAAGCTACAAGGCGTTATGCACATCTTGGAAAGATGCCTATGATTCCCTTTGAGGAACTTCTTTGTAATGAGGCAATGCTAATTTACAAGGCCCCAAATCTCAAAGGTTCAAATAACAACTCAATTTGGAATCCGACCATGCTACTAAGCTATCTTTTATGCAGCTCATGCGATTTTACGACGAGGCTCTTTCAAGACTGGAGAGTTCAATAAAGTATTCAAGTTCTTCAAATTTTCTTGGTACTGTGGTATGCAGCCTCTGCTGTAGAGACTGTTATGTGGCTTTCTTGCTCTGCAAGTACTGCTTTACTCATCCCATTTGTATTTCCCATGATGGTAAGATATCATTATTGTCATTTGCTTAATAGTCATATTAGTTGCTTTCACTATTGATGAGAAAGTTAATGCTTAACCTGTTTATAACTCTTCACTTAATAGTTTAAGCATTTAAATTGAAGTGATCCTTTCTAATTACAGTCTGGCATGCAGATGATTTAAGATATATATCTATTGCGGTTTGATTTGCATCAAATTATGTCCTTATCTGAACTTCATGAATCTTTTCTTCATCTTTTTATTTTGCTATACAGAAATTGAGACTCAGAATTGCAAATGCGGCAGGCAATGCACACTTTTCAAGAGAGATGAAATGTTGGCACTGATGGATGCTGCCACAAGTTTTGACCTGGAAAAAGACATTTTGTTGGAAGTTCAAAGACATAGTGGAGCAAATATACTGTCACAGGCATTCTTTTACACTGACTAAGAAAGCATTCAAGATAATAAGGTATGTACTCTTTAATAAGTTAAGGACTAAATTTGTTTTAATTCATTATTTGGATCTTCTAAAGATAAGTGTACATGAGGTTAGTAATGTTAAACTCATGTGCTGATACTATCTGTATGGTACCGGTACTTTGTGTTCCAACTTTATTAGCATTGATGTATTAATTCGTTTTATTATTTTGTGATCCTTTAAAGTGACCTTACTTAAAAGTGAAGAAAGAGATATAGACACATGATAATCGCGCCATTTTTATGACACCCACATATTAGAAGCGAGACCCATTATCATGTATCTATTCACTTCAATGGCTCTATATTCTTCAACTAACCCTATCAATGCTAACTTCCTAAATGGCATTACTTTTTGAATTTATGCAGGCTTAGGCTGAAGCTGGATAGAAATTTAAGCAGATGGCTTCTCTTTTTCATTTATAAGAAATTAATGTATATAGAATTATAGAATTACTAGGGACGAGTAAGTGCAGCATATATTAATAGAGTGTGTATTGTTTCTGTAACGTTATAGTAGGAAGTAATGATTCAGTCTCATTGTATCCACATCCTCATATTATGGAAAAGTTCTTTTCTTTGAGTATTTTCATCATTTTATTATTTTTTATACTCTCCTCTTTATTGTAGCTTTGATGTCAACTTTAAGATTAATAATTGATTTCTTTGTTCTACAATTTCTTTTCTTGGCACACAACAGAGAATAATGATATGGTGGAATTAATTATCTAATTAGCTAAAGTATACATTTAGTCCTTTAATTTTGTAGAAAATTTCACTTTAGTTCTTTAAATTTAAAAAGTATAAACATAACTATTTTAGGATTACAGCACTAAATATATGTTTTTTAAAGTTAAGAAAGCAAATTGAAATGTTGTATAAAGTTAAATAATTAAATGTATGCTTTCGCCTTATCCAATTACATGATGTGAAATAAAGATATTTTATGAAAGTTAATGAAATATTTACAAATTATTAAATGCCCACATATTTACCTGGTATATTAGAGTTGTATATTGACTTCAAACCATTGATTATGATGTAGTTGAAAGTATGCCAAATAATAATTGAAAAAAGCTCTGTGTTCCAAATTCAAGACGAACATTCAACAATAAAGAAACTTAAGAACAAGATTATTTCTCAATAATTAACAACAATATCAACAGAACATTAATTTATAGAGCAGACACAGACATAGGATTAATTAATTAAACATATTGGACGTGGAACACAAATAAAGCAAATTAATGAGTAATAATCGTTGAAAGATTTTCATAACTGCCTCATCAGGGCTTCAAACTCTTCCATGGCAGAAGCACGCAAACCCAGAAGAACATTTATGTTCTTCCTCTCTCCCCCATGAGAGAGGAACAAGGCAACCTCTTTCTCAGGCAAGGTGACAGGCCCAGAACACAGAGGCTGTCCCCATCCAAAATCTGTGGTCTGGAAAGACAACCTAGTCCAAGTTGTAATCAAAAGCGTGGCTGTTAAGGAAGGCCTCGCTCTTGTCGTCTCAAAGTAATCTATAGCTGATCTCAAATACCTATCTGAAACCAAATCAATGGCCTTCTGAACCAACCCAACTGCGAATGATAGAGGATTCTTCAGCAACTCACCAGCCTCACACAGTGAATGTGTGAATAGTATGGCGTTTCCAAAGTAGCCTTCTGGTAATGGAGGAACGAATCTTGACCGTCCATTAACAGCAAAGAGAAGCTTGGTTTGTTGATTAGGTTTCATCTTCAAGGCTTCAGTACGAGCTCTCCATACAAAACCAGAAAGGGCTTCAAAAGTAGAGCACTTTTG